GTTGACCCAGCTGCTTTGTTTACCAATACATGGCTGGTTTTTCATGACCGCAGTCTGCAGACGTTGAACTCTTTATCAGATGCCGTGACAAACATCAGTAAGCTCAGCACAAGCCTGTATCTTGCACAACAGCTGGCTGAGCTGTGATGTGCGCCACTATATAGGGCAGGATTTGTGACAGTGCTCTAAAAATGTCTATCACAGTTAAGAAGTGGAGGAGACGATGCAGACTCGTGGAAAAGCTCGTCCCGGTGCCGAAGTGGCCACTGACACGTTTTTTCTGCGTAAATGGCACACACACACACACACACACACACACACACATCCGGCTGAGGCACGCTCGCCATCGCGACTGGCCTTGGATATGACAGTACGGGGAGTCCGAGCTGCAGGATTTCGGTTGCGCCGCTAGAGAAAATAGGTCACTGCCCTGTTTGAACTCGTGCAGTTTCTCACATTACAGGGGAGAGCGCTCACACCAGCACAGACACGCACGATAATGTACGCAATGGGCATAATTTGACATGCGATAATGGATTCATAGTGGCTTACCTTACAGCGAAAACGCCGTGGATTGATCTGAGATGTCTCCGGTTTGGTCCACGTCCACCCGGACACAAACTTCTCAAGTCCTTGGGTTTAAACAGCGTCGGTGTCAAGTGACTCCTTGTCAGTTTGTTGCCTTTTCTTCGATAAAAACGGAAAAAAACAGCTGACACGTCTTGGGGAAATAATTCTAGGTGTCTGGAGAGGCGGTCTGTTTCTAGACCATTGTCAGAAATATTTCTAAGCTTGGAAAAATCCAACATAAGCGCAAACCCAGCGTATGTGACAGCTGGTTGTTCAAATAGAGACTAATGTATGGGTTGACAGCCTTGTCTCTTGTCGAAGAAAGATATTTGGCATGCTATCATACCGCTGAAAACCCGTCAAAAAGTGTAAACACCCGGATCCATGGACTGAACTCTCCCCGTTTAGGAAAAACAAAGACCACTGTTGTTTTGCATCAAAAAGCGCAAAGGTGATTTCTTCCCTAATTCAAAGCGCATCCAACGCTGGTCAAGTAGGGGTTTCCTATGGGTGGTCGTGGCTCTCCTGGGGGGGGTGGGAGGGCAGTTCAGACCAGAGGGATGGCACGCAGTGGTGGATTGGAAAGATAGGGCGGGTTGGCGACGGGGTGTGGGATTGAGGAGGAGGAGGAGGAGGAAGAGGAGGAGAACCGTCTCCTTCTTCTTTGGTGCTTTTCCAGATGTCGAGGTAGGCCAGTTTTCTCTTCTTTAGCGCAGTTCTCCTGGATTTCCTCCTCTCTCTTTTTTCTCCCTTCTTCTCCAGACTCGAGAGGGGACGCTGAGTGCTGATGGTAGTCTCCCCCGCCACCGTCTGACGCGCACAGACCGCCGCCCGGAGCCCAGCAGCCAGCAGCCCGTCAGGACCAGCCCAGAGCCTGCCTGCCAGCTCAGCGCATGCTTACTGCTCCGCCCCTCCACCGTGGGCAGTCCCCGGCTCCTCTCCAAGCTCTCCCCTTCTCCCGTCTGTCCTCACGGTCATCTCCCCGTCTCAGCTCCCCAACGACAGTACACAATATCCACCACTGCTCCGTCTTCTGGACCCAAAGACAGTGTTTTTGTTGTGTAGTTTTCTACTTTTCTAATTCGACCAAATATATGTGCAACACATGCAAAAGTTGAATATTGTCAACAGTCACATTTGTTTTTCAAAAATACAGTTATTAAAGATACAAAATTACACAGTAAACCAGGAGGAAAAAGGTTGCTACCAAATATGTGAAAGCTGAATTAAACTGCACTAAGAATATTTCATGTTGCACTTGTTGACAGTGTTTATATATTCAGGTATTCTGGAGCACGTCCTTTAGGATACCTGTCACAAAGTCTTACATTTGACAAAAAGGCATTTTGGATGAAATCGAACAGTTGCAACCTTACCAAATACAACTCAGTCTGTAACCCTTATTTTTCTAAAGACTGCCAAAAGCTTTTATGTCTGTTTAAAACCAACACTAGGGAAATTGAGCAGTTTTTCTGTCCCACCTGGAGACCATTTGACATCACTGTCTTTGAAGTCATGAGTATCTGGTATTTGTTTGGATTTTCGTTTCTCCTAATCTAATTGACATCTTGCAATAACATCATCTCAATATTGTATTTCAGGAGCTGGGGAGGGTGGTGATGAACTTATAGAATCTGAGTGGAAAAGGCTGCATGGAAAATAGCTTTGCTGAAAATGAGAGCTCTCTGTTTTTGTCATTACAATATTGTAATGTTTATTTCTTTTTCAGCAATAATTTGGGTTCCATTACAATATATTCAGCTCAGCATTCAAGTTAATCATTAGATATGACATGAAACATGAAAAACTGTAAAGGTTTTTCACTTGTTTTTGTTTTTTTATCTTAAGCATTCCATGTATTCTCATGGCTGATACATTATCATGAGATGTTCCTGTCCTGTGCATCCTGTCAACCAGAATGGGTTATAAACTCTGTTCCATATCATATCTGCTGCCTGTTGTGGAGCCTTAGCTTTTAAATAGCCACTAGAGGGCATAAAGCAATCTTATATTAGATTGAAGTGCCTCATGGATGCCTATGAGAATCCTGTCATTAGAGAAAGAAAATCCAAATGTTCAATGTTGTGATTCATGAAGAAATGAAAAACATTTTATGTTCCCTAACTTCATTTTTTTAATGAATATCTGGATATCCTAACACAATCACATTGGCATTAAACAAATCCAAACCCTGGATACTTATTGTGTTGATTCAGTAAAAAAAAAAAACTTAAACAGTAAGAATTTATTTATTTATTTGTCTTTAATTATGCACTTTTCAGTCTTTCAGTAATGTTGTTTCCAAATGACATGGGTCCATGCATTAGCATTGCGTGCATATTCATACTAAACTTTTTACAGGTTAAACAAATGACTACATCATTATCTGAACATTAAGGCTTGGTCTAGTAGTCCGTCACTACTTGCAATGAGCCATGAAGGAGCAATCACGTCAACAGTCATATCCATGAGGTACCTTCTCAGGAAAGAAAAAGGCAGATAATTGTATGTGTAGGGATCCGAGACTTGTGATACCCCCAAAGGTCCTTGTCATTTTAGAGGGCCCTTTAAAGACCTCTAAATAAATATGACAACTATGTACCTTGGGGTGCAGTTATTAGCTATGTAGGCTATATAAGTCACAGACGTAACTCAGGAGACATTATTAAACTCCTATTGTGCCCCTATTTTTGACAGTGTATCACTATCATATTTGATTGATTGGAATATATGATGTTTATTGGAAATCTCAGTCAGGCAGTGTTTTAAGTTGTGGTTAAATGTGTGTTAATGATTATTCTATTTCACCACACAGAAATGACACAGTTAAACCGCATTTGAGTGACAAAAAATACACTTAATGTAATAAGTCTGATCAAAAGCATTTAGTGCAGCCTGAAAACTGTGCAGTTCTTCATAGAAAATGTGAATCATGTCTAATATTTATACAATAATACACACATATCTAAGTTATTTATTTTTTCTATCAATCTGGTTATGGCACTTAATGCTATTTTTGTTTACTTTTCACTGAATAGAGGAATGTATTTCTTTTTTTGGAGCTTGACAGCTATTTTCTCTTTCTCAAAGAGTAAGAATAGTATTTACATAATATAAAATCAACCCATAGGAACACAATCTGATCTACAGAACCTGTCTGGTGACATAAGAGGAAAAAATATTACTCGTGCCTATGAGTTATAAAGTTGTGTGCACGAGTTAAATAAGATAGATAAGTGATTTTTCTTTAGAATTTTTGAGTAAGAGAAAAGATATTCCTCTATTGTTATGCCGACGGGCTCCGTACTGATCTGTTTATGTACATTATTACTTAAACTGGATTCATGGTTATTAGGACCTGTTCATCTGACGTTTTCAACAATACAAGCGTTATGAAATACAACTCTTTAGTTTTTATAATGTTATATTTCAAACATTTCCCCAGAAAACTTTCATTTAAATCACTGCTCCACCACCACTTCGATGATCATTCACAGCTGTGCTCTTCTGGAATACTGGGGCTTTCAGATCGGCCCCATTGTTACTATTCGCCAACGTGCGCCACCACGCCTGTAAACCTGCTGCCGCTTCCGGATGGCGGATCAAATTCACCGCCTCCATTTTGTACCTTCGCTACAATCGCACACTTTCCTTAAAACACACACACACGCACACACACACTCACACACGCACGCACACGCGATTGATAAATTAGGTTAGAATAATGCATCCTGCGGTGCAGCCACGCTCGCATCCAAAATGGTGAGCTCCCAGCAGCCGTGCGCGGCCGCCTGCAGCAAGCCTGTCCCTGGAAGCCCCCCCCTCCCCCCCCCCCCCCCCCCCTAAACCCCCCTACACCCCCCCCCGGTCCGCTGTTGCTGTGCAGCGCTGCCAGCTCGTCAGCTGATCTCTGTTGTTCGCTTATCGCAGCTGTTGAAGTGTCCGCCCCTGTGGAGCTGCCGCTCTCCTTACCGCGCCACAACATTTCCCTCAGTTATATGGATAAACAAGTAGTTTTAAGTATTGTTTCACAGCCACATGTTTTTTTTCTTACACTAAACGCCAACCCTCTTTTTTTTATGAATGATCGGGTTAGGCCCCCCTTTTTTTTATACAACATGCAGGAAACGAGTCATGTGAGGGGTAACGTTCAGGCTCCCTCTGACCCGCTTGTAATCACCAACTGTGGGGTTGCTGTTTATCAATATTTGATCACGAATACGCTGTCAACGTTGTGTCGTAATTCCATTAAAGGTAATTTAATCTAGTTGTGCTCGGCGTGCGTGGCTCCCTGTGGGTGTATTCCTGCGCTAAATAGTCCTTTGTTTACACGCAGTCCCCCGTCTCTGCGGAAGGAGGCTTTCGGTAGTGCGGTGTGTGACTCCTACCAGCTGTTTCCCGCCTTGAAAGCCATCCGATCAGCTGCGCGCACACACACACACACACACACACACACTCACACACACACGGTCATGCAGAGGGAGAAAGCAGGGGGGAGGGAGACAGAGAGGTAGAGCGCCACACACAACGAGGGAACCCCATCAGCTGGAAGTCGAGTAACATTACAACTCTCAGCAGCCTCAAAGAACTACATTAGGCGGTCGAGAGGATCGTATATTCTTTAAGGATTTATCCCACGTCAGATCACGGTTTTTTTTTTGCTGCTGAACAGTCATCGTTTTGCGTTGATTCCACGGAGACTGCTCTTTTTTTTTTTTTTTTTACTGGGGGACCAAACTGGCGAGGAGCGAGCATGGAGTATTTCATGGTACCAGCTCAGAAGGTGCCCTCATTGCAACATTTCAGGAAAACGGAGAAAGAAGTGATCGGTGGTCTTTGTAGGTACGTGTTCCGCACGTTTTCCACCCTAGGCGAGGTGGGAACTATTATTGTGTGGAGAAGCATGTGCTGGGAGCACACGCACTTAGCGATGTCGCTGAGGCAACATGCTTGGTCTGATCTGTTATTGTGTACACGACCCTCTCGCGGGCAGCTGCGGGCATAAATTAACATCAAACACGGAGATTCAACTGAGAAGGAGCGGACGGGGGTTTCTGCTACCACCACGCAGTCACCTGCGTGGTATTATTTTCCACATTTGCCATTAAAATCGATGTATTTTGTGGCTAACAAACACAAACCACGTGGTTCCATGCATACCACGCTGCTACTCCGCTCCGGAGCGCATCCCCGCTCTATTTCTCCGTAAATAATCTCTCCCTGCCGCCTATAGGAGTTGCAGCCTGCATAATAATGGGAAAGGGTACACTAGACTGTGGGGTGCCGGTTGGTGGGGTCTATAGTCGTCGCGCTCGTCGTGGGGCTGGCACATTTCGCTCAAAGCGAGCCGAAGTTATTGTGGGTAGTGCGGCCATGCTTGTGGCTTGTGCTAAAGTAATGAGGGGTCTGACGGAATTGTTTAATAGCGCCACCCTTTTGTTCGCTTATCAAGTGTAAACGAACCGCTGTTGTCAAAATGCCCTCAGCTCGAGCTAGCAACGGTTAAACGAGTGTTTCTGGGCTTTTCGCTGGCGCTATTGAGCCACCTCCATTGCGTCTTTTCATCCCGCACCTCTGCCATGCTGCCTGCCGCATTGTTGTAATGGCGGAGGACACGAAAAGTCTGCTCGGAGCATGGAGGTGGCTTCGGGTTAAACTGCCGACGGGGAATTTTATTTGAGGTTTTAAAAATCGTGTTTCATCCTGGGTATCTGCAAAAACGGCATTTGGTGCTCACGGGGAGGAAGGAAAATTAAAAGTGGTGTTATAAGGGGGTGTGTATGTTGCGGAAGGCCCGTCGATACGTCCGCAGCCCTGCTTGTAGGAGGAGGCGGAGGGATCTGGCGCTGTGGCTGCTGCCGGTAGTCTGGGAAATGTAGTCTTCTCCACCTTTTTTTTCCTCTAAATCCTCACGATAAGTGCAGACGTTTGCTACGTAAGACAAAACGCCCATGATTTGCCCAAAACAAAATTGTTATCTATTTCTTATCTATTTTTAATCAATAGAAAAACATCAGTCGAACATCTGTATATAAATCTGTCATATTTTAACTCTGAGCAAAGTTGGAAACTCATAACTAATAATGATCTGATCTTCTGATGGGGGAAAAATCAACAACAAAATTAAAAGCATTTGAGGCAGTATCTCTAAAAATGTTTATTATTTTACATACACAATCAGTGTTCTTTTAGGCTGACGTTTTGATTTATGACATGCTTACAGATTCATGACAATCACTGAAGCTTTTTTCAAGTTGCCTGGTACAGGTCTTCCCCTCACCAGGCTTTATTCCACCTTTCTCTGTAGTATTTGGTCCTGTTTTGATCCCTGGGTGTGTTTTGTTGGATGTGCTACTGGGCCATTTCATTGTGTATATCCAAATTTAACACTCACACATGCACACGCGCCATTTTTCCTCATCTGTTTCTGCACAATTGTTCCCAGTGTTTGCACTGAGGCAGCTGAGTCAGTACAGATAAGAGCTTGGCAAGAGAGGGTCCCAGAGATGCAGAGGCTGATACTGAAAATGGCTTAGAGTATCCCCTCAGCTGCACATCAGCATCTGCTGGAGCTTTCCTCTGAAATTCCAGCATTGAGATCATTGTAAAAAAGAATACAGACAATAATTGTAGCTCTTACTATTTTACAGATAAAAGAAAACAGATCTTAATGAGGTCTTTCCATATGTTCTGCAGCGTAAAGGAAATGTTTTTGAACAACAGTGTTGTGACGCATGGACGACTCACAACTGGTACATTAGTGGGGATTACTTTGGGGTTTTTACCCATTTCCTGTAAGAGTCATCCTAATAGGTTTGGATGCTTTTCTAGGATATGATTTACTAACATGAACCATAAAATTCCTCTTGTTAAATGGAGCGAAATCCTAAAGATTTTCTGTTTGCATTATTATGACATTTCAGTCTTTGCTTTAGAGATTTGACCGTAATAAGTTTCTAAATACAAAGTAGCGATATTAGTCTGTTAATCTGTTTGTCTCTTGGAAATTCAGATTTTAGGAAACAGTGATGATTCAATAAAGTTTAAACATGATGCCTCTTTTTTTTTTTTTAAGTGTTCTAAGGCTTTTTAAGGGATGATTAGAAATCTGGGGAATGAGTAACACGAGTAGACATAATAACAGCTGTTTTTTTTAGCTTTCTTCTGTATGCCAGCGTAGTATCTGTCATGCTTTAATAGTCAAATGTCTCCTCTTTCGTGACCAGCTAATAAGTCCCTTCTTATCCTCTTCATCCTTTAGTTTGGCAAACATTCCTCTAACCCCAGAAACAGCCCGGGACCAAGAAAGGCGAATTCGAAGGGAGATTGCCAACAGCAACGAGCGTCGGCGTATGCAGAGCATCAATGCCGGATTCCAGTCACTTAAAACACTCATCCCACACAGTGATGGAGAGAAGCTCAGCAAGGTGAGAGTCATCATCAGAGGTGTGAATTAGGGGATGATTTAGATCAAGTAAAGAACGGATTAACTCACTTTCATCCCTGAATTGTAACTTTGCTCCTCAGGCTGCCATCCTGCAGCAGACGGCAGAATACATTTTCACCCTGGAGCAGGAGAAGACACGGCTGTTGCAGCAAAATAGTCAGCTCAAACGAATCATACAGGTGCGGAACAACAGCAAAGTCCTACGCGCAAAAGTATTTCCCCGCCTCGTCCGCTCTGGATGATCTCCAGTTTTAGCTTTCATACAAGCCAGATCTCGCTTTTCTTTGCTGGCTCTCTCCAGGAATTAAGCGGTTCCTCCCCCAAGAGGAGGCGTGCAGAGGAGAAAGACGAAGGCATTGGTTCGCCCGACATCCTGGAGGAGGAGAAGACGGAGGACTTGAGGAAGGAGATGATTGAGCTGCGGCAGCAGCTGGAGAAGGAGCGCTCGGTCAGGATGATGCTGGAAGATCAGGTGACCAGGGAAACCCGCAACAGCGCTCACAGTCCAGACGTCCAAAAGCTGCCGCGGCTGACATTCTTTTAAACCTGTGTCCTCCGTGGCAGATGCGTTCCCTGGACGCTCAGTTGTACCCAGAGAAGCTGAAGGTGATCGCCCAGCAGCTCCAGGAGCAGCAGGCCCAGACGCAGGGCCTGGTCCGTCTGCAGCAGAAGACGCTGGAGAGGGACCTCACTCCAGCCCACAGCCCTCAGGTCTGAGTCTTCCTCTGCACGGCCCTCTGTTGCATGCTTTTACTCATGGACAAGTTCAGCTCTTGTGATGACTAATGTTGTTTTTCATGACTGGCTAACCACCACTATTGCATAAAGACAAGTTTACACAATAGAAATGGCCTGTTCCGCTCATACAGAGGTCAACCAAGGGTCCCTGACTTGTACAAGTGTACTAACTACTGTAAGTCGGATACTTTTAAAGAACTGTGCATTGCGAGTTTATTACCCTAAATTGATCAGTTGGTATCACATGCGTATCCCTGCCCCTCCTTTTTGGGGGGGAAAAATCTTTAAGGAAAACACGTTTTGTTTATTAGAAACAAACGCATACACCCAGAATAATCTGCAAACACGGTCGCACATGACGGAGCCCTCCATGCCGACGGTTAGAGCTGTCAACAGCTTTGACAGTTTTACAGTGTGTCAAGCGAGCCACGCACACATCTCTCGCAGTGCCCATTTCCTGCCACGACAGCTGCAGTGTCCCGTTTCTGCCGGCCCATCCTAACCCAGCGTGGTGCCAGGTAGTTGTTAGGAGAAATCTGTCCGTCCGCGCCAGATTAGCCACGCCGTGCTTAGCGTGGCTCTGACTGCTCGTCCCTCAGACGGCACCATCCGCCGTTTACATCGTCATCGAAACTAGAGTTCACCTTCACAGATGGATAACTGTTGGTATCATGGCTCTCTAATCCAGGCATCAAGCACACGATGGGCACATTTTTGCATGACCAAGCGGGAGAATGTTTCAATTAAGGTGTTTTATTAGCCTACTGCACAAAATTGGATTTTGAGAAACATGTGCCCACAGTGAGGGTTGTTGGTGCTGGTTTCTGATGTCTTGCCCATGCTTTGAGGTCATATTTTAGTGCAGCAAAGTGGCCACGTGAGAATAATGTGAAATGATTGCTCTTCTCTACCAGGTGCTGGCCCCGGCAACCCCCCCTGCGCCCACCCATCACGCCACCGTCATCGTCCCTGCACCTGTTCAGACCCCTCAGTCCCATCATGTCACTGTGGTAACCATGGGCCCCTCATCGGTTATCAACTCAGTGTCCACATCCCGACAGAACCTGGACACTATTGTCCAAGTAAGAGACCTTGCTAAACTAAATTAGTGTTTTTTTTTTTTTTTTCTCACTGTTGCCGGAGGTCTTTGGGAAATCCTGCTGATTTGAACACTTGAGGGTGCTATTGTCCCTGACATTTCTCATCCTTTACCCATTCCCCAAGGCAATCCAGCACATTGAAGGCACCCAGGGGAAGGGCGGGGAGGAAGAGCAGCGGAGGGCGGTCATCGTCACCTCTGGCCGGGTCCTCTCCGACGCGGCGGGCTCGGACACGGCCTCAAACAGCGACGGGCCGGATGACTGTTCACTGCCTTGAGTTTCCTGACGTGACGCGCGCCGCACTCTTGCATACATGCGCACATTTACACATAAGAGGCCCTTGCAGACCAGGGCGAGGAGAGGCGGCAAACTCACAGCACTCTTGTTCTGTGGACTTTAACAGGGCTGGTAGTATGATTGAAGCACTCATTTTTAACAAATTTTTGTTTAGTTTCTTTCTCTCTTTCCAATACTTCAAAAGATTTACAGCGATAGGCAGCCCAGTTAGGTTTACATACACTTACTTTTACTCTCATGCAGTCTCTTCTGCATCTGTCTCTGCTTGTCTCCAGCCCCTGCTCTCATTCACCTGCACAAACTCACAACTCTTCGTTGAGCTATAGAAAGGTTATTAGAGCTACTCGTTTGCCGACCGATTTATAAATGCTCTCTCAAACTGGATGCTAGTATTTAGAATGTCTGCTAAACATCTCCATTAACTACCAGGACTGTTGTTTTTATGCAGCCCGTAAGCCATGTGACTGATCATTGAAATGGTAAAGAGCCTGGTGGTACGGTACCACCACCCAACCTATGAGCATTTTCAGTAAGGTGGACGTCCTCTCAAAGTTCTTCTCCTGAGACCCATCTAAGCTGTTTGGAAAGACACTGTGAGCTGACAAGACAGTCCTAAAGTTCCACCTCTTGGGCTTTGAGTTGAAAGAATGTTATTCACTCCTGTTATGTCTACTTTTCTTTGTTAAGGTTTTCAAAGGCTCACAAAGAAACTTTTTTTTTTATTTAAACAAAAAAAAAAGGATGGCAATTTTAAAAAGTTGGTTTTATGGCTGACTGGTGCTCACCGGATATGATGAGAGATGGCACTCACTGGTTCACAACTCTATTTTTGTTTGTTTGTTTCTGTCTCTGCTGGGCTGGGTTCCCAGCAATCCTACATATGTATTTGGCCTGTTCCCCCTTTTGGTCATGGCCTGATGAAAACATGGCTGCTTTGAAGATATCTCCTTTTTTTTATTTAGTTAAAAAGCACCTAGCTTGTTAAATAAGCTCAAATGTGGGCCATGTTGAATGATATCCACAAGTGTGTCTGTGTGCGTTTGTGTCTTAGTGTTTTGAAGCAGCAGGGTTTAGTGGTGCTCTGGACTCTGGAAGTCTGCAACAGCACCACTTCTGCCTTGCATATACATATATGATGACATACAATCACATATTTGTTTTATTCAGCCCCTATCCATTTGGGCCCAATGTACTGGGAGGGATATCAAAGTAGATTAAGCTGACGGTATGAGGAAAATTCCCAGTGTGTCATAGAGGTGACTGGAGAGTCCACATATACTCTATGCATTTCCTTTTATAGATCATTTGTCCTTTTGTGCTTTTTTTTTTTTGTCCAGTGAACCATGCTAGTTACATGATTTTGCTCAAGTTTTATGTTTGCTTTTACTTTAAATGTTCTCTTCAGCCTGAAACCTTTGGTTGAGAGACCGATTGGCTCATGGTGAAGAGTGAGGCAGCAAGTTGCCTTATTTATAGCCCGTGGGTGTACGGAGGCACTGTGAGGCCAGCCTTAACACAGCCATGTGGTTTTACCTTCGCTTCATCCAGGCCATTGGGTGGCCCCCAGAATCCCAGTGGTTTGCACTTCACCTTTCCAGTCAAGCTTGTAAATGCCTGGGGTGTGTAAAAATATATATTCCCAGTTTTGTTTTTAATCTCTTTACTTATGCTTAATTTTCCCCCTTAAATTGAACAGATTGCGTGCTTAACGTTCTGTTCAAATGATTCTGTTACTAGTTCGAAGGCGGAATATGTCTGAATAATAACTTCTGATTGGAATTGCATATACATTAGATATGTGAGCTACCAGGTTAGATAAGTGGGGGGGGACTTCATAGTGAGACAATGACATTCCATAAAATTATATTCAGTTTTCCCCCTATGAAGTTGCTTCGCAACTTGTTCATTGGCATTTAGGACTGGGGACACATCGCAGCATTTAATGGCAAAGTCACCTCCCTCAATCAAACTGTAGGTGGAGCTTTGAACTGCTGGACGAATAATGCTTTCAAGTGATCACGCCTCAACTTGATTAATGTGGAATTTCCCTTTAAAAATATTGATGTCAGCTGCACTGCAATGAGTGAAACTAAATCACGGGACTCATTATAGGAAGAAGTTTCCTAGATGTGGATAACGTTTGCATGCTCCCCCTTTTTTTTTTGGATAGTCTCTGCATCTGCATTGGAAGGTTTTAAATTTCTCTGCAAAAATATCCCACAACTTGTTTATATCCATAATTTACACTCTATATTATCTGTTGCAAAACATTTTATTGGCATATCGGATTGTCAGAAAAGTAGGGATGGGGATAACTAAATGGGGTTTAGATTACAAAGCACTTACTTTACTATACCGGAGTTTTCCTCTTAAATTTAAGGGGGTGTCTCCTCAGCTGAAGCTCTTGAGGTTATGAGTAAAACCGCACAGCTGTGTATCCCCCTTTCCCCGTTTGTGTCAACTCTGCTACATTTTTGTCCTATGTTATCCTGTTGTTTTTAATTTTGCATCATTTATTCTGTTTATGTATTGTCAATATTTTTTCATCTACATTTTGCAACCCCCTACCCCCTTCTATGGTTCCTTGTTCTCTGTACTTTTTTTGTTAGACCTGTCAATGCATATGGTCATCAAGAAGCTACTTTTTTTTGTTTTGTTTTGTCAAAAAAAGTTTTGGGGATAAATAGGCTTGTGCCTTTGTAAAGACAGAATAATAAAATTTGTACTTTGTTTTTTAATCATTGTGTCTACATGTGCATCTTTTTTTTCTCTGTTCTCAAAATAAGTATTTCAGCCTTAAAATGGATTCAGATGGTGTTATAATATGAAGTTTTCAAGCATTGGCTTCTAGATTTTTTTTAGGTTTGAGTCGACTGTCACTCAAAGCAGTTCAGTGCACGTGTCCGCTGGTGATTGGTGGGTGGGGTGTTAAGCCACACCCCTCCCTCTGCTGTTCAGTAACTCATTGCTAAATTAAGACAGAATATCTTCTCCACAGCGGTTAAAATATATACCGGGCACAGTGCATGGCATCTCGTGCCGTCATCCTCTGACATGCATCGGTCCATTCCGAGCGTCTTGTTCTCACCCTTTCACAGGAATTCAGACACGACTGGTACTGAGAGACAGCCAGTCATTCCATGGGTTTCTTTTTTATATTCAAGCTTATTGTAATGAAGAAAAGTCAAGTGTCCAAAACTGCAAAAGTGGATGTTCATGAGCATTTATTAAAAATACATCCGGACACAGTGAAAATGATCAATAGTTATAACTATTGTCAATCACACGTAAAGGCAGCATATCAGATATGGAGAGAATGTATCTAATAAAACTAAGTGCTTGTTTTGAATTTATTAACATAGTTTGAGGAGACTGAATAAAAACAGAAAATAATGGCTTGAATCTACACATTACACACCAAACGTAGAACAACTCACAACAAATATGTGAGCACCTTCAACATGTTTTGTGATATTTTTGTGGCAAAGTAGTTCTCATGTAAAAACTGTAAAGGGATATTTCTGAAACAGACAATTCTAAAAACCTACACCAAGCTGCTGTGGTTTCAGCCCTTAGACAGTAATATATTAAAAATGTACCCTATTCAGCACAAAATCCCAGCATGGGCTGCGAGGCCGTCGTCAGCTGAAAAAAGCTATTCACAGCATTCACCACCGGAGGGGGAACTCAAGAAGTCAAAAACAAGATAAATTGTTATCAAGATTCAACGTTTACTGACTGAAGAATGAATGTAGACCTGAATTCAGAAACGCTCATAATAAGCACAGATGCTCATACACAAATGATATTGCCTCATTCGCTTTCCACAGCCCACTGCTCAGGATTAGGGCGTTTTACGCTCCTAAATAAACATGCTTCAGTGTTTGAACACATTTTCCAAGTCATTTTTGATGGCCATGCTTGGTTAATAAACTCGTGCCATATTTGGGGATTAACTTACAGTTGAGATGTTGATTCCCAATGAATTGTACAATTTTGTTCACCACTCTGAGTCTGCTCGAGTGTGATAAAGCGGTAATCCGCCTAGCGTTCAGCTGTGCAAGGGATTCTAGGCTGACTCGGGGGTCTTTATTTGCCAAATTCTCCTCAGCTCTCTCACTCCTGCTACTATAAACTCTTACTCCGTACTTACTCCACATGGATTCTCACCAGAGGGATTGTTTGATTGCTGCATTCAATGGAGCACATGTTCCAACCTTATAGATGTTTTGGAACTTGCCTGCAGGCAGGAGTGAGTGTGCAGGGTTGCCGGTCTCATTTGTCTATGCGAGGCCCTGTGATGAACTGCTGACCTGTTCGGGGTGTTACCTCTCTCCCAATGACAGCTGGGGTAGACCCCAGTACTCCACAGCCATATTGGGAATAAGCAGGTATAGAAGATTGGATGAATGGATAGATTTGTTGGGCGATGATACCAAAATGGTTACACAGAAGGCCATCGTATTAAAATTTGTGACATAAATATGTGAAATGTATACGTCTTATCTACGTTTAGCATATTTCATAGGAAGGCCATTTTCTTTATCTATCTTACTGACCAATAAAAGCCTTAAATTATTGCTTTTGTTGGAAATTCTAAAATTTTCTGAGAAGGCGCTGATGAATATACTGAGAGGGCTGATGCATTGGATACAAGGAAACATAATCTGAGGATAGATAGTGGAAGTTGATGCTCTCTAAAAAAGAAAGCCAGCTGTTTGCACATTTAGAGAGTTTGGGGCATGCTTTTAACACCTCGGACATACAGACTTCAGCCTTTCCACCAGTTGGCCAACTCTTTGCTCCGCCTCTTCTTTCTGCGTGCACTTTAACCTTCCTCCATTGGTATATATATAGTCTGTGGGACTATCAGAGTTCTCCTGGCAGCCATCATGAAGGGTACAGTCTCGATCTGCTGTTGTCTCACCCTGCTGCTTTTGCAGGCCACAGCAGGTAAGACTCAGAAGCATTCTGGTTTTGCATTTCTTTTTACACCAGGCAGTACACCGTTGGCATGATGTTCGATCTACGCATCCCAGTACTGCTGATGAATGAATTTGTGGTGGTGTGTGAGTTAAGACATGTGTTTAGTGACAGTTTAAGAAAGCTGCGAAAGCTGGCTTCTCTTTAAACTTGACCATACAAAGACCAAAGACTTGAAGAACTGAAATATGATAGCTTTTCTGCATCTGCAAAACTTGACTATTTAGAATCTGTCCTTGTTTTATGCAGAACAGCTAACAGCCATGACAAATACCAGATTTGTCTGACTGTTATTTTGACTAATTTAAACAAAGATCCTACTTTTTACACACTAGTATTAATTCACATGTCGCATTTTGGGACATTCAGGAGTATTCAAAGCTGTTTAGCCCCGACAGTGGCCTGACAGCATGTCAGCTGTCATAAGGCATGGCACCAGCTGATGGAAAGTCTTAGTCTAACTAAGGCGAGTAGGCCGACCATGGATGAGCTTTAATGGACACTGACTCATTGAAGACAGTATTATTACATGGTATGCAATAAAATCAGAAAAACAATATAACATTTAAAAGTTAACATTTCACAATACAGTCTGGTCGCAGACCATTAGGGTTTACTGCAATTATAAAATTGCTTAGCCATGACTACCCCCGGTTCACCCATTCTAAAAATGCAGACTGGTCTCTGGGTCTGCGCTGGTACAGATACTGTTACCCTTGTCTGTCACCCCTGCTCGTCCTTGGGGTGGCGTTCAGCTCCACCGTCCACAACCAGGCTTCTGTCAGGTGTCTAAGATTGGAAGGTCTCCTGAAACCTAACACTGTTCACTACAGCTCTTGCCTCCCTCCAATCAACCTCAGCCCTCCCCTGCAGTCTCTTCACCCCTCCCAACTCCATGCTCTGCTTTAGATATGCTGCACAGCTGCTGTCACTCTGCACTGTCACAATCGCAATTTATTCCCAGCAGTTGGCCTTTTAGGGCCATGCATTCTCCAGGCAGGAGGGGCTGGGCCGTGACTGGTCCTCGCGGGCCCCCTTTTCAGGCCTGTGCAGGTGTCTTTTGGGTATCACAGTTGTTCGCCTTACTGAAAATTGCATCGTGTGTATTGAATATTTGCGTTTTAATAGCATACCTAACGGATTTAGAGAACTTGTGAAATCATTGCCACTTCTTGTGTAATTGTTAGCATTATTGATTGGTTCATCTGCTGTCAGGAACTGAATGAGCTAAACGGGACCAGAAATGTTGAGCCTCCTCTGAATCAATGTAGACTTGATTTGCTATTGATGCTGTCTAATATCCCTGAGGTTATTTACGTCTTCTTGTCCAAACAGCACAGCTATTCATACATTGAATCCAAAGAGAAATTCGAGGGAGGGTGGAAGCGTGTTAACATGGTAATGTAGAGACTATAAAATGTTATTCTCGTATCCGGAGTCAGAGTCAGATAATCAGTTGTATGGCAGTCGCATTAGCTCAGTGTATTGAGCTAAGTGCAAATAACTTGTATAAATGTCACCCCCCGATCAAGAGAAATTGACGCCATGTTAAGTGTCCAATTTAAAAAATGTGTTTCATTGAAATGCAAGTCAATACTGAAACGTTTTCCTATTTGCATTCTTACTGGTGTTTATTAGTGGCATTATTATTATTATCATTCATACACGGCACCCACAATCTTTGGTCTCTTCGCAAATTCAACAGTAGTTAAAAGAAGTCTCCATGTGGTTCCCTCTACCGGCATGTGTCATGTCTGGGGTATCCCAAAGCCTTCGGTAGTGGAGGGGACACACCAGTCTTGCTCAGGACTAGCCCCCCTTAAAGTTCCAAGGACAGCCAGCGCCCAAGGGGAACAGGGATAGAGGCATCAGATCAACACCTCGGTGTGAAGTGTCTTTGCTCACATGCTTTTGAGCTGGTTTGCTTCTTAGCGACCTCTCAGGACCAGGAGAAAGTCATTTCAAACAACAAATGCAATCAGTTCTAGTAACTGTGCACGTGTAACAGAAACTAAATTCAACTTCAGATTAAGTCACAGTCAGTCCTACAACAAATAGAGTTAGGAATGTTGTGCTTTATTTGTTGTGAATGTGTGTTCTATTTTACACATACATGTATTATCCTGTTCTTTTGGTTTAGGGACCTTTAGTTTGACAAGTTGTACAGTGTCAGCTCTGTGGGAAGTGGATGTCACAGAGTCTCCACACGGACTGACAGTTCAAACCTCAAAATAGGCAGCAGTCGTTCTGCCTCTTCTGTCCATCTTCTGACCCATTGTAGGGCTATTTCTGACTGTGGGGGCGCACTGGCTTCAGAAGCCACGCCACCTGTTGCCATCTGTGACGTCTTCCCTCCACAGCCTGAACAAACTCTGCTCACTGTCCTCACATCTCCAACACAAAATTGTTCTGTTCTGTAGAATCAATTATTGGCTTGTACTGGAACATCATTTTAGGAATGCTCAAGATATGTAGAGTTGCTTAACAAAAACAGCTCACAAATAGGTTATTCACCACAAAAAATCCAGTCTCTTCACATTTGATTTAAGTCAATGCATATGTCTTTTAAAACCTCTTGCCCTTTTAAATGAAGTTATCTGAGTCCTCCAGATCAGACAAGTTCTCTAACTAGTAGTTGTATCATATCATATTCACTTTAATTGAATTTACTCACACTGTGCTACGAGCAGAACCTGATCCAGGGGGTTGCCCACATATAGACATACTATATATACTGTGTAAATACACAGGACCAAAGACTCTTGCTGGGATACCCATGCTTGACAACATAACATTGTTTGAATACAATTGAAAAACAAAACTCTTTTCTTTTGCATGTAAAAGTTCATATTGGCACCTCATGCAAGTTTAGCAGCTATTACTTGAAATACAATTTACTAGTTTGCATAGACTCACTTTTTGTTGATAGAAGTGTTTGTTCGTGATTGAACACCTTCCAAATGGATGTGCGATGACTTATCCTGCCGCAGAGTGCTGGGTGACTTAAATCTCCAACATTCCTAAAGGATGTGCGGCCACAATGTTTCTCCAAACTGAGGGAGGGTTGTGTGGCAACAAACTCATTGAGGACACAAACCCCAGGGTGCCGATGTCCAGGGTTCAGCTCATCTGGCGCCTGCAGGGTCAATTTTGAGCTTTGATCCAAGGCCCGCCATCCTCTAGCAACAATTCCTCTCTGATCTTCTGCGTAGCCCTGATTCAGAGCTTCCATTGGGGATTGACGGGATTTGAAGGTGCTAACAAGTTCACAGCAGTTAGACCCAGTCAAGAGTCTAGTGTTAAAAGACATGCCTCTTCTGAGTGACGAGGCAAGTTTCAGAAGCTTGAGTAAGCTTTGAGCGTGATATAGCATGAAGGAAATGGGATCTGCCCAAGCTCCTTCAGCCTGGAAGTGGAATCACTGCGGCGTCCTCTGATGAGTGACTTCTCATTTCCCCAAAAAAATCCTTCTTTTTTATGGTATTCTCACATTCTACAAATAAGTTTTGTCAGACTTTCATAATTATTTTTGTGTCTTGTTCCTCTTGTTGTGACAATCCTGGTTGCTGAGAAAAATACCTCTTTTCTTCCTTATCTCTAATTGACAATAAAAAGTAGTTTTTTAAAGCTACATAGACCTAGATATACAGCAAGCTTTGATACTTTCAGGGAGATAAATCTGCTCCTTTTTAAAAGACTGTTAATCTTATAGGTTTGGACACAACATTAGTATTGACCGAAGTAATGTGTTATTCTGACTCTTGGCCAGAAACACTAGAAGTCACAGCCCACATCGCCAGTGGCTTCCCTCCAGTTTGTGATGTAGGATCCCACCGTGCTGACCTTTGAGATGGGGGGTGTCCTCTCTCGCTGATTTGATGTTTATTATTAGGTGGGGCAAACATCGCTCGGCTGTACCAACCTTTTCTCAAAAGAGTTTCTATTTGTGTTTCAACCAGCCCATAAGCTCATTATATCCTAGTCTGAGACCAGAGTGTGTGGTTCTGTACATTCCTGTTAAGGAATATTTCAGTCCCTCCTGGTTTCAGCCACCCTCTCATAAATTATGCCATCCCCTGCTGAGATCAGAGTGCTGCGCCTCAAGCGCATGCAAAAGCTATTTCCTTATGAGACAGGAGACCTGGGAGGCAATGTGAGGCTGTTCCAGTCTGATTTAAAAGAATATTGAAGATTTATTTTTTGTATATGCTAATAAGTTTTACCATTCCAGTAATTTTGATGCTGATTTGATTTTGAACATACTGATTGGCAGCATGTAATTGTCTGTTTGTTAAATAGCATTTAGGTCAAGATATGTGCTTTCCTTGGCTTTATTTACAACTCAGTGAATGTTCATGATCTTGGAGCATAAACTTTATCATACTTTAATCTCAACTGTTAATACCTTTGAAATGCTTTTTGAAAGTATAGTTTGAATCTCATTGCTGTGGCGTGTTTGTCTGATTCATGTGGAAGGTTGTAAGAGTCCGGCACATAAAGATAGGCCTCACATATCTGTAAGTCTGGGATTGGTGGCTAAATATAGAAGAGAAAAGTCAGAGGATTGCACATCATTGTCTCATTTAAATTACCGAAGGGAACAGTCAGTCCAGCTCTGAGTCCTCCTCTCCTCCTGTGAAACTGGGGAAGTCCCTATTTCTGGCTGACCGATCTTTGGCGTTGTTACAAAGCCAGCGGTGCCAAATATACGTCTTTGTTTATTTTCGGAGTTTACTTTCTTAATTAAGAGCTGATTGTACTAACAGCTGTGATCTAAGTAATCCATGCTGTTTATAAATGGAAATGACATGGTTAAAGACAGGAATTGTGCTGCTGAACAAGGTTTAACTTTGTTGATGTTGTTTTCACAGAAGAGGAAGATTTCACATCCACCCTAAGAGACAGATCTCACATTGATGAGACACTGAGGCTTGCAACTGAAGAAAAAGCAGGAGACTATGCAGGTGAGAAGCAACAAGTATTAAATAATTCCTGACTTTCGTGGAATATTTGGTGCACCTTTTACATGTTTTACCTCCTGTGACCATGTAAAAATGTATACACTATAACTGTATGAAATTTCTACTAAATATGATTTTAAGTTGTGCATTCCCAGTAAAGACTGTATGGTGGTAAGTTTCTTGTTTTGTTTTGTTTTTTCTCTGTGTGGCCCTGTGAAGGAGTGCCAACCTGCACAGGGCATATCCCACCTCTCACCCGTGGCCGCTGGGATAGCCTCCAACTGCAATGCATGAAGTCTACTCTAGCATTGGAGTCTTATCCCTTATCTATATATATTATTGATCATATATAATAAAGGCATAAGGAGCTTTTTGATAAGAAACTTTTGAGTCCCAAGTGGATGTTAACGACATCAGTCATTCCCACATCCATATGTTTCTTTCTGCTTGATTTCCTTGTCTTCCAGCGGCTATTCAAAATTTGCGGAAGATCTATCATTCATCCATCAAGCCAATGGAGCAGGCCTACAAATACAATGAGCTGAGACAGCATGAGATATCAGGTATCCCCCAAACTTTAGCTGTGTGCATTTTGCCTCCCTTTGTTCTGTTGTGTGGCTTTTTTTATTTAAATTGTTTTGTCATTTGCACTTGTAACAGTTTTTTAAAACATTTATTTTACTTATGTAATCAAGCATCATCTTTACATCGCCAACCACTATATAACAGTGAGAACTTGTTTCTTTTCAATTCTCTGGGTGTCCAGGCAGTTAGTACACTTCACTTAACAATTAAAAAATGTGATGGTTGGACACTTTATCCCTCTTTTAATTTCTCTCAAACCTGTCACTTAGCTTTACTTTCTTGTTGCGTCACTTATCTTTGCATTGTACACCGTTACTTTACAATAATCTGAACATTCTGAGCTGCACGCCTAAACGACAGCACAAGCCCTCTCTTCCCATGGTGAAATAAAACTCGCCCCCTTGTGGCCTTTGAGTCTTGACTTTCATTAAAATATATTCACTTTCCTTTATGTTTCTCAATTACATTTACTCCTAATAAATTATTGTCAAGTTCAATCACCACATTACTGCATCAATGCACTGCAGCCATTTGTCTGCAGACATGTTTGACAAATTATAGGTCAAATATGGGACCATAAATTCTGACCCATTCATGTACATATATACCCTATCCCTTCCTGATGCTTGTTAAGACCTCACTCCCTCACTGAGCTCTCCTGTTCCCTTCACTTCTCTGTGTTCCATCCTTTTCTGTCCTCCCTACATCGCCATTCCCTCCCCGTCACTCATCTAACAGCATACCCCGGACGCACCCTGGGGGACTCAGCCACAGGTGGGTGTGGGCAGGGCTTAGCTGTGCATGGGACTACCTAAGCCCCTTCCGTTCACCCTATCATTTTTCCTAATAAATTGGCCAAAATTGCCATCATGCATCACTTTGTGTGACGCACAATAAACAGTAACATCTGGATTGATTTGTCATCAAAGTGGTTCATGGTGGAACCACACAATCCACCGAAAAATCGATTCATGGACCCTATGTAAATTCAACTGTGGGAAATTAAAACAGAAAATAGAACGAATTTTAAAAAATTGGCTCAGACTTATTTGGCTGTAGGATTGATAGCAGCACTTTAGGCATAGTATCTACAAAGTAAATACAATTTGAATGGAAAACTATGGAGGGGGTTGCATGTGCAGCTTTGGCTTTAGAGAAGCCCATATGGTTCTGAGGAGGGGACACTGGTGGTAAACGGTGGTCAGTGTTCAACAAGGAGTCCATTAATTTTGACACCTAGTTTTTTGTTTAGAAATAATCTTAGATGGAGGCAGGAGATCTTCCATTTGCTTTGACTCGTCAACCTAATTTAATTAGTTAATATACATCAATTTATATATTTAAACCTCCAACACGGTTAAAGAAAGGGTTTTCAGACTATGCTCTAAAAAAGACAATAATGATGTTAGAAACATGTGACTGTAATCATCAGTTTTCCTGGCCTGAGATAAATGTCACAGATTGACATTGAGTGAGATAATGGACACTAAGGGCTAAAGACTAAATGGAGCATCCAGACTTATCAGCAACAAGTCCAATAAGTCTATGGTAATCCGATGTTACATAAATGCCTTCAGGAACACTCATTTAAACTTCTGTGATGACATCATTACTGAAAAAAGATCACTGATTCCTCCAGGCAAAATTCGGAAGTAAAAAAATAAACCCTTTCTGCATGCATTATGAAGGCATGACTTCAGAAGAAGGGAGGAGAGGTGCTCATTTGACCCGCATTCTATCCTGTTAATTTTGAAAGGAAAATACATATACATACATATAAAAAATGTCAGTGCTTGACCTCTTCAATTCCTGAATATCGTCTAATTGGTGAGATGGACTGGCATAAGTACAATGTTCTAATAGGGTTTTTAGATATTGGCTCTTATTTTCTTAAATGAAAAACCAACTTAATAAGCACATATACAGATACTGGTTCATACTACATCAGTAGCAAAAGAAAATCTAACAAAAAATACGTTTTCCCCTTTATTAGGTCCTAAATCAACCTATGATTTGGAATTGTATAAAAGGATCTGGTGCAGTTCCACTCCTACACCATGCCCACTCACAACATACAAGGCTTGATCTGAATGCATGGCCCTGTTGTGTAGTGGGACGAGGCAGAATTACTCTTCTGGATTTTTTTTGTTATTTTTGTTATTTATTTTGATACTAACACAATAACCGCTTTTGGACTTCTTTGTATACATTGTGTTTGTGTTTTCCAAGTCTTATGAAATGTGCCTTTGTGCAGAGAATTGGGAATTACAGTAGTTTCTCTTTGATGTCTATGATATATTAAGTACGATCCGTTTCAGAAACAATAAACAAGACCCTTCGACATATTGCTTACGAACAGAATGCAATTATTTACAAATCACTTCAGCCATTTACATAGTTACCAAATATTTAAAAGGAGGATTTTTCTGAATAATTGTTATTTTATTTGTAATCAGCACCAATAACATGTTTTACATGGAGTGTTAAAAACCCGAAGCCATTAATTTTCATTAACTTTGGATATAAGTTTCAATTGAATTTTTTTTTTCCTGATCTTGCTTTATATAATATAATTTTGGGAGCTTGCAGGTAATGTACATGTAACGTAATACACTGACAAAGACTTTTCTTTTAAACATGAACGTTGTTAAGAACATCCTAGATTTGCAAATCGTTGCATTCTGTTCTCTACACTTTTGATTGAGTGGCAAAACTTTTTGAAAATAATTTGTAAGAGGTTTATTCTGAAAAATGAAAACACCAAAGAATACTTTTGAGACTGACATAAATAATATGGGATGAACTTAAAAGGTTAGTCCTCATCATTAACCCAACTCTTCTGAAATTTTAATCTTTGGATCACCCTGACCACCAGATGGCGAGATTACCTCGAAGCCCATGGTGCTGTTCCTTGGACCCTGGAGTGTAGGAAAGTCCTCCATGATCAATTACCTCCTGGGCTTGCAGGACAGCCCCTATCAGCTTTACACAGGTATGATAAAGTGCTTTCTCTTTTGAAACGAGTAGTAAACAATGATGCACTGAATCCTCCTCATTTTAAATATGACAGTGCCACGGGTGAATGTAATGATGACATTGTGATATTTGATTGATTCATGACATCTTAACATTGCTTAGCAGAAATTCAGGCATGTGCTGATCTTTATACCATTTCTCTGGATCATTTTTGCCAATCCCTCTTTCCCTTTCTGTGTGACCTTGCTCTGTAGGAGCTGAGCCCACTACCTCAGAGTTTACAGTTATAATGCACGGGGAGAAGATCCGCTCGGTTGAGGGAATTGTCATGGCAGCAGACAGTTCTCGCTCCTTCTCTCCTCTGGAAAAGTTTGGTCAAAACTTCCTGGAAAAGCTGATTGGCATTGAGATGCCTCACAAGCTGCTGGAACGGGTGACATTTGTGGACACACCAGGAATCATTGAGAACCGCAAGCAGCAGGAACGAGGTAATGGAGACTCAGTCCCTTTCCCAGCTTTAAAAAATCCTCCAGGACAACAAAAGGCTTACATGTAACGCCTCTTTTGGTTCCTTTCAGGTTATCCTTTCAACGACGTTTGCCAGTGGTTCATTGATCGTGCTGATCTGATCTTTGTGGTGTTCGACCCCACCAAGCTGGATGTTGGCCTGGAGCTGGAGATGCTTTTCAGGCAGTTGAAGGGTCGTGAGTCACAGATTCGCATCATCCTAAACAAAGCTGATAATCTGGTCACCCAGGACTTAATGAGGGTCTATGGAGCACTGTTTTGGAGCTTAGCTCCCCTTATCAATGTCACCGAACCCCCTCGTGTCTACGTCAGCTCCTTCTGGCCGTATGATTATGCACCCGACACCAGCCGTGAGCTCTTCAAGAGAGAGGAGATCTCCCTCCTGGAAGATCTTAACCAGGTGATTGAAAACCGCATGGAAAACAAAATTGCCTTCATCCGCCAGCATGGCATCCGTGTACGCATCCATGCCCTGCTGGTAGACCGCTATGTCCAGACCTTCAAAGAGAAAATGAGCTTCTTCAGTGACCCCGAATTAGTTTTTAAGGAGATTGTGGATGACCCGGACAAGTTCTACATTTTCAAGTCCATCCTAGCCAAGACCAATGTCAGCAAGTTTGACCTGCCAAACCGAGATGCTTACCGCGACTTCTTTGGCATCAATCCAATCACTAACTTCAAGCCCCTGTCTACTCAGTGCTCCTATATTGGAGGCTGCCTGCTGGATAAGATTGAGAAGGCAATCACCAATGAGCTGCCTGGTCTTCTGAGTGGCATTAACTCTGGCAAGCAGCCCGGGCTGTCATCCTGCGAGGCAACTGGTTGTGGTGAGAAGCCAAAGAATCGTTACCGAAAGAACTGAGGGACATAAAATAACTCGTGCGGAGGAAGTAAGGAGACAAAGGAGGTGAAGAGAAAAGGGTCTGGTGGAAACCAGCCCTGCTTTTGTGAGAACGCTAACCCTTCCTCAGGAGAATAAGGAAAGGTGTATCGGGGGACAGTGAGAATAATGCAAATAGTGGGAGGGAGGGGTCATTGTTTGATACGGCAGCTTAAGGACACAAGTGCTGAAGAAATGAGTACATGCCAATGTTCACAGAGTTTTGTTAAATCACACCCTCCTCTCTCCCTTGCACAACCACATTGGACTGTCTGGGACTGTGAGATTGGGGGATTATTCATGTAAAAAAAAAAGCAAGATGAAATAAAAAAAGGCAAATCCTGAGACTTAAAATAGTCAAATACCAGCTCCCTTGTATGTGAATAAATCAGGTAAAAGTGGAAACAGAAATCAGTGTTGTAAAGTTATGTGAACTGCAGCAAGTCAATTCCACAAGCTTCAGAAGATGTTTTTGAAGTAGTCTTTTTGTGGGTGCTATTTAAAGCCTTTGTGTTTGGCTGATCATACAAATCTTTGCTTTTGAGATAGACTATCTTTGCATGTTAGATATTACATCTTATATAGCAGATGCATGATTTTTTTTTCTAACATAAACAAGCAAACTTTCAACTTATAGTGTTTCTGACACTAGGTGTGCATCAAATTAGGCCGTTCTCCACTTAGTTTTGTATGCTCTTCAGTCATGGTTGTTGACAACCTGTGAATTAGGCAGAGGTCAGGGTTCAAGGGTCAGAGTCTACAGAGAGCAGAGGGCATGCATTTTCTGCTTCTCTTCTTAACTATTCTTACTGTATTTGTCCATAGATTTGCCAGTCAATTAGCAGAAATTCAATATTGTTTTCAGAATGATTTTGTCCTTCTGTTAGGAGCCTTTTTTTTTTTAAAGAAACGTAACGAAGGATGCGCTTGAGTTATAGCTTTATAAATCAATTTATTCTGCCATTTCTTCTGCAGGTTAGAAAGATGTTATTGATTTTTATTTGTGTAAATTTCCAAATGGGCATTCAAGAAGGTTGTGTACATGAATGGATTAATCCTACTACAATTTTAAAACATGTAAATGTGAAGTGGAGGACTCATGAGCTGACCCCTGACCTCTATCAAAGCAAGAAAATGCTGACCTTGCGTCCACGCTGGAGAAAAGTGATACGAAGCTGCAAGTGCTCATGTAGCGTTCCATAAAAAACATCTCAGAAGTGTGGCAAAGAAAATCACACAGCCAATGTTGGAAGCTTTGGAAATACACTGGACTTAATTCTCTACAAAGTCTGCATAGGTCATTTAGCTGCCTTATGCCAGCCTTTTTTGCCTTTGGTGTTGGAGTACATAGAAACAAGGATATAATATGTTAGGAATAGATTTAGATGTGTTTTTAAAACAATGTTATTCCTCTTCCGACAGAACCCGACTAATTCTTTCAAGCACTTTTGCTTACCCCACAAATAAAGTGACTGTCTTTCCTTACTTTTTCACAAACATATCTGATTAAAGGTTTTAATAGTTTCTTCTTACATAACAAATACATATCCCATAATGTCAAAAAATATGTTGAGTGCAAAATCAAAGAAAAGTTTTGAAAAAGCCCTTATAATAAAAAAATGTGAAAAAACGCTGTAAGTATTATTCTGACTTATGCAGACACTTTTGCACTGCCTTCTTCCACCATGTGTGTCATTACCCATCCTCTTACTGCCTTCCCATCTAACTTCTGAGGCATGATGAAGGAGAATATATAATAATGATCATAATGATAACTCCAAAGAAGCTTCTTTTTTCATCTGTGCACATGTGAGTGCGCCACTGGTTTAGAGCAGAGCACTTACACTGTAGATTAACAATAAATCCACGTGGGGGTGCTGTTCAAAAGAGTAAAAGGAGACCCCAGTAATGTTCAACATGCAAATGTTTGTAGTTGGGGAACAGGCTTTGGCTTTATGATGTTCAGTGTTTGCTCTATATTTAAATTTCACTTAACGTCATTCACATGTGATTAAAGTAGTGTCTAATTTAATATTTTGTTTTGTTATGACAAATAAATCAACACCGGCCAAATGTTTTAGAGTCCTGTCGGAAAGAAATAAAGATTTCTAATGGAGGGGATACATCAAACTTTCTGGTTATTCAATAATCAGTCCATTGACAGGATTATGAATGCAGAAGCTAAAAAAAAGAAGGCTTTTCCCCTGTCTTCCTTCCTCATGCTATCAGTCCACATTTCAGTCCCCATATCTTTCCTACGCTTACATTTTTCTGGCAAAGAATATTTCACTTTTTTTTTTTTTTTAAACACGGTCTATTCCAGTGCTGCACAGCACCAGTAAGTTGAAAGATATGTGTGTATCTGTGCGTGTGTTGGAGCTTGAGCGCATGAACTGGTTTGATAGCTGTCCATCGACCTTCTCATATAAACATGGACTTTTGTGTGTTTCTTTATGAGTTAACTCTTTTTCTCCCATATTACTAGAAGCATCTGAAATGCGGTGAAATTACCTTAGAATTAAATTTGCCATCCTTTTATTGCAAAAGGCAAATCAATGAGAAAGAGAGCAGAAGGATTAATGGTTTGGTTGATCTAACACATTGGTGTGTTTAGCAACACAAAAAAGGCCCGGATTTCCACAGAAGAAAAAACAGTGGCAAGGGACCATGTGAGTTTTTTTACAGCAAAGAAAAAACCTTTACATCATTCATTTGATTGAAGAGCACACTCTGGCAAGTATGCATATCATTATCCAAGTCTGCTAAAGAGAGAATACCTAATGAGGAGCAAATTGTTCAAAAGATCAGAAACGCCATAATGAACTTTGATCGGATTCTGAAAAATCAAGGTATATTTGATAATTGACAGCAAATTCATCTTAAAAATATATATGGAGGCAAAGTGGTGGCACAGACAGGCATGGGTTCCAGCGGCACTATCATTACTTATCTGATGTTGTGAGCTGACATGAACTTTAAAGTGCAGTCAAAAAAACACAATTAAACTGATTGGATTTAACCGGTGGTCTATAGTGAGGATGGATGATGAATGATTGTAGTTTGAAATGTGAGTGCTTCTGAAATGCTTTTTTCTTTTCTTTTTTTAAATCCTAATTGGATACTGAGATGAGCTAACCCCTTATAATTCTTCTATGAAACGTTAGTTATGAGCACTCATTCAACTTTTGTTGTTTTCCTCTTTTAGTGTATTATGTCTTATTACTGCTGAATGATTATCCCAAATTCTTCCCTGTTATTGTCATCTCATGGATCCTAATGAAGGCCTTGTGGGCGGAATAAATGTGGGGATTGTGCCCTCTATCAGCAGAAATGCTGGCTCACAACCTCTCAAGTCTTTCCTCCCCCACTAGGTGCGTGCACGTTCCACGACGACCCCTCCCCTCCATCACTTAATCATTCTATTCATCGTCTCTGTTCTCCCCCAAAAAACAGACGGCAATAGTCAAGGTAGCAGTGACATTTAACAGGAAGTCAATGCTTTCAAAGTAAAACGCCCATTCAAGAGCAACTGAAATTTCAGAATTTGAGATCAGACAATAGAATAGACAGACATGCCCAACATTAAAGGCATTCAAACATCCCGTGCAGGTGGTGCATCATTCAATAATCTCGTTTCTTTATCTCATGGCATTTGTCATTCCTTTTTTTCTGAAGATGAGTCAAATATTAAAGCTATAAACTGTCTCCTTTAAATATTGTGGATAAACACGCATGCTCAACACAGGTTTGGATGCCTGGAACTTCGGTCTTGTCTTGCAAGTGAGGTCATTTTTAAAAAAAAGTTACAAATTGATCTTCATTCCCTGAAAGGGTCGTTTAAGGCCAACAAAAGTGCCCCACCGTTTCAGGTAACCGTCTGGACACTGGCCTCCTAATGGACACGAGGTTTTATTGTTAAAGGAAAAGTCGGATGTGATCTTTACTTTAGTCTGAGATGCATTTCTCTAACTGTCTGTATGTCTGTCTATTTTTCTCTCTCTCTGTCTTTCTCTCTCTCTCTCTCTCTCTCTCTCTCTCGCACACACGCGCGTGCACGTGCACGCTGACTTCTCCCGGCTGCACGGCTGTCATCTCTCAGAAGATGGTGGCTTCTGCTGCCGCTGTGTTTTTTGCCCACCGTGGCAGGAGAGAGCGCGCAGCCGTTCAGCTGCTCCAGCGCGCACAGCACGCTCAGAAAACCCGGAGAGACAGAGTCCTCTCGCGGTGCGGAGATCCTCAGAATGAAAAGGTGGGACGATGCAGCAGGAGCCCTATAATGTCATATTAGTCTTGGATTAAAGGGAAATTATTCGGAGGTATGACGACATCCCACCCCCCCCATCCCATTCAGTTCCGTTAGAGTGGCTGGATCCAGGCACACCTCTGCTTAAACCTGTGGGACCGAGGTGTGGGGGAGTGGAACGTAGGTGGAGACCTTTTTAATTAGCTCGACACTCTCCAGGCTTTCGGAGACTGGCGTTCACACGGGGGACCGAGCCACCGTGGGCAAACTTTACTTCAGAAAAGAAAAAAGATCGCCCGATACTTCGTGAAGTCTGCTCGAGGCTGTGTTTTTCATCGCAGCTGTCCGGGGGACGCCACTTACAAGTCAGGGACCGCCACGGTCAGGATATTCACACCATCTGGATAGCTTTTTTGTTTTTTCCTGGGGTGCACCGTGACGATGGATTGGCGACATGTGGCGTGACAGGATACCAAAGCAGCACTGATGCAACACCAAACTAAGACGGCTCTGCGCGCAGCCCTCTGGAGCGTGTCTGTGAACCAGACATTCACAACGACGCGAGTTCAATAAATCCAAACATTTATTTGTGTGTTCCTCCACGCACCATTTCCTGCAGACCTGTCTGCAAAACAAAAAACCAAAACAAACAAATCTCGAGTTTCAAGACGCGGTTGAAACGAAGACTCTGGAGTGGAAAGTCAGGAAAGGACGGGGCTCCGTCCACAAAAACAGTTGGGAGTAGGCCCTGCAGCAAGGAGCGTTGTGGTGTATTTAAAAGCTCCCTTGGTGGTTTTTGCACTACTGGTCTCATTCACCTCATTTTGCAAAATCAAGTTCTACGATCAACACGATACACGTCAGACTTTGAGACGAAGCAAATGACTTGTTTTTGCATGAAGTTTTCTTTCCTTGCTCAGGAGTAAATATTGACATACGTCTGGTGGACGTGAGGAAATGTGAGCGGATGAGGCGGACAGGACGTGCACCACTGTCGCGGACTCTGTGAGAGCTCAGGAGAACATGGCCTGCATGTAAGAACATAACCAAACTAAACGTGTTCCACCCTCTCGTTTTGATTCTCGAGCTTCACTTTTACGCACATGTAAGAAAAGAAAAAAAAATCCAATGAGTGAAGCAAAGTGGTGCAGAGGCAAGTTGGACTGGAACAGAGCAGGCAGCAAGTGAACCTTGCAGTTTCAAGTGCGTCAAAACAGACGGGAATGTAGAGGAATGCAGGGATTGACGTCAAGAGCGGCAATAATGAACCTCTCAAAAACTTTGGCTGGCCTTCTGGTGTTAATACAGTCTGAGCACTTTAACCTAAGTGGGATATTTCCTTAAAAAGCGTTATGCTCGCAATATCCTTTACACCACTAAGATTCAACAATCATTAGCCTAGTTGTTTTACTGTGGCCAAACGTTTTGCCTTACCTCTTTCTCTGCATTTTTTCCCTTCCTAAATGACTGTGCCTTCTCCGTAGTCTTTGATCTCTGGACAGACTTTAGAGACGACATGGCCTCTCCCCAGCATCAGCAGCTGCTGCCTCACAACACAGAGGTGAGCTGTGACTCTAGTGGAGATGGAGGCGTCTCGGTAAGAATTGGCAGCGGTGTCAAACACAAGCACGGAGGTGGGCCGCTGGGTTCAATCGGGGGAAGCCTCATGGGGGGCACGAAGCATTGCAAGTACAGCATTTCATCAAGCTGTAGCTCCGGAGAGTCTGGACTGAGAAGGCCTGCGGCCAAGAGTTTCCGTGCTCAAAAGAAGATGCCTCAGCTTTTTGAGAGATCAGCCGGACATTTTTGGGACCCAAAGTTTGACTCCTCCATCCTGGAAGAGGCCTGTAGAGAACGGTGTTTCCCTCAGACGCAGAGGCGCTTCCGCTATGTGCTCTTTTACCTGGTTGCTTCCAGCTTCCTCTGGGGATTGTACTTTGCTGCCAACCCATCGCGCTGTAACAAGGCTACCTTTCTCCTCCCCACCGCTTCCTTCCTACTTTTTTGCCTCCTCCTCTTCCTTTTAACCTTTACCAAGCTGTATTCTCGCTACTACAACCAAGTATCTCTGCTGCTTATCCTTGTAACCTTCATCTTAACCCTGGGCCCCCAGATCCAGACAGCAGGGTTTAGGGACCCAGACACCACCACGCCTTCGATTGATGCAGAAGAATTCAGTGGCATGGAGCCTGCATACAACCAGTCCTATGAAAAACTTGTGGGAGCTGGCATCCTTCCCCCCTGTCTGTCTACTGTGGGTACCTTCTCCCTCTGCATTGAAGTTCTGCTGTTACTGTACAGTGTTCTCCATGTCCGCCTGTATGCCTCTGTCCTTCTAGGGTCTCTCTACTCTGTCTTCTTTGAGTGTTTAGGCTGGCTGCATCTCACTCAGGCAGGGGATGGCTGGAGCTTAGCTTCCGCGTCAGACTGGGACACTCTGAGCTGGTTGGGCCCAGCCAAAGCCTTGCTCCATCTCTGCGCTCATGCCATCGGCATCCACCTCTTCATTATGTCCGAGGTACGGTCACGCAGCACCTTTCTTAAAGTCGGTCAAGCCATTATGCACGGCAAGGACCTGGAAGTGGAGAAAGCTCTGAAGGAGAGGATGATCCACTCCGTTATGCCCAGAATTGTGGCCGATGAGCTGATGAAGCAGGGGGACGATGAGCTTGGGGATAATTCTGTTAAACGTTACTCCACCAGCGGTGCAGCTGCTGCCATCTCCAGCCCCAAAAACAACAAACGCAAGAAAACCTCCATCCCCAGAGGACAGATCATTTTCAGACCTTTCAACATGAAACGGATGGAGCCCGTCAGTATTCTCTTTGCGGACATTGTGGGCTTCACCAAAATGTCCGCCAACAAATCTGCCCATGCCCTTGTTGGACTTTTAAATGACCTGTTTGGGCGTTTTGATAGACTGTGTGAGCTCACCGGCTGTGAAAAGATCAGCACCCTCGGAGACTGTTACTACTGTGTGGCCGGCTGTCCAGAACCCAGACCGGATCATGCATATTGCTGCGTAGAGATGGGCCTAGGAATGATTCAGGCGATTGAACAGTTCTGCCAGGAAAAGAAGGAGATGGTGAACATGAGGGTGGGCGTCCACACTGGGACTGTTCTGTGTGGCATACTGGGCATGAAGCGCTTTAAGTTTGATGTTTGGTCAAACGATGTCAATCTTGCCAATCTGATGGAGCAGCTTGGTGTCGCTGGAAAGGTCCACCTCTCGCAGGCTACAGCCAACTTCCTGGATGACAGATACAAGCGTGAATATGGACAGGTTATTGAGAGGATAGGCCAGAGCGTCGTGGCGGACCAGCTCAAAGGTAAGGATTGGGTGGAAGAGGCGAAAAAAATCATTCTTTAAAAAAAAAAAAAAACTGAATTCAGTTTGATAGTTTGTAGATCTGTTTCAGTTGTTTTATATTACAGTGTCATGTTTGGCTGGAGTTGTTATGATTTATGTTTCTTATGAGGACAGAAACTTGAATGTTATGCGTTTAATCTAGTATATTTTTTACACCTTCAAATGTATCTCAAGTCACACTTGAGTTTTTCCAGCACATCAGCTGAATCGTGGCAGTAGTCGGGCAGAATTTGCATTGTCAAGGTCAGCTTATGGCTTAAGCATCATGTATCATATTTGGCACTACTTGGCTGGCAACAGTTGGATTTTATATGTCCTCTTTGTGATGTTGGTACAGTGTGACTGTATCAGATTCAGACGCCATCTTCTTCCCCATCCTGCCCTCCCCTCAGCTCACTCTTTGTTCTCTCACTCAATTACACTGCCTTCCAGACGTCCTCGATGTGTCGTGTTCTCTTAACCTCGCTGTGAACCTCAAGGATTGCGTTACAGCTTAATGTATCTCTCACCTTTTCTGCCTGTAGCTTCGTCTTCACCTTTCTGCCTTGACGTTTCCGTGCTTCTAAACTGCTTGACTATTTTATAAATTTATGCTAATCGCCTTAGTGTGACTAAATGTGTGCTTAGAGGCTCTTTTCATCATTTAAAGCCTGCGGATCCATTATCGCCTGTTGTAAATGAAATGACAAAATCTGGCAAAGGTATTTGAGATGCTGGTAAACCTGCCCCCTTGAGCTGGCATTCAGGTTTATCTTTGCTTTGCTCTGGTGCTGGAAGCTACACATCTTATTTTGAACAGTGCATTCAAGACAGGGATTAACACGGACTGGGAATTTACACTCATTAGCGATTCCAGTGCGCACATTGATAATTTGGGGCTTATGAATTATCAATTTATTCATATACCCTCTGGGCTCTTTGGAGATAAAATAGATTTCCCTGGATAATGCTTAATTTACCAAGGAAGGAGCAAGACAGTGAAAGTGCTTTTTGTTTACCGGCTAGCCAGAATGATTTATCAGGGCAGACCCCCCCCCAACACACGCACACACTCTCACACAAATCCCTTTTATATTAACAAGTGGCTACTATCCCTTGCTCCTGCGCACTTCTCTTCTTTATTATTAGGACAAATGTGTTAACTACAGTGTGATCACCCCTCCCTCACGGCCTCCTCCTTTTTCTTGACTCATTTGTTGCCTTCATTGTGCATTTAGCTCCCCAGCCTGGATTTATCTTCTCCCTGTAGATTTTCCATGTCAGTGAGAGAGCTGGCTGTCAGGTGAGAGTTGTTCCTCAGCGCTGTAAAATTCCCTCCACTGTCTGGCTCGGACTGTGTAAATCACTTGGGCAGCACTGCAGCCAGCATTGATCCCACATGGGTCTGGCCCCTGTTGCTTGACTCAGAAGTAAATTGCTCTGACAGACACTGATCGCTGTGCAGCTGTCGTCTGTGCATCTGTTATATTTAGCATCTTCTAAACTTTTTGGACCATGAGTGTTAAGACACACCATGTTTAGGTTATAGTAAGGCCACGGTACGTAGTCACGCAAAGATTTGTATTTCTAGAACGTTTACACTTCCTTTTGCAAGCAAAAGAAACCACATGTGATCAGTTAGGTTTAGAGGTTCCTCCCTAGCTGTGAAATGATTCCTGCCATTTTTGCAGGAACGGAGTATGTGCTTAATTTGACTGGGGAGGGGCGATTACCATGCAGTCATCTATAAAGCTTCAAATGCTTACTAAATATATCATCTTCACAACAAAAATGTAGCTACTTCTGTCTTGTTGCTAATCCTGCACGATAGCAATTTGAAGTTTCCGGATTCCAAACATGTGATTCTGTCTACACCATGAAGTCGAAGAGACAAATTATGCCTTGATATATAAAAACATAGTGAATAATTAAAGCAGTACTATTTATTTATTTAATCTGTAGCAATCAAAAGCCCCAGAGCTATTCATTTTCAGTATCATACACCAGAGGAAACCAGTAGAATATCATATTTAAATGATACATTATTAAGGGCGCTATAAGTCAGGGAAATATGATAGAGATCATGTGCCTTATCTAGAAACATAACGGTGGAATGGTACTGTTGCCTTCTTATTGTGTTTGTTTGTCTCCTCAAGAGTCTGTTCATGAAGTCTGACCTTGTTGTGTTGTTCATTTTCCTTACTGGAAATGTGAGCTATATTTAGTTCGATTTCCCTGGAAAGTACCTGTCTGCCTTTCTTTTGTGTTTAATGCAGAGTGATGGCACCTGCAGAAGATTATCTCTGTGGAAGAGACTGTCAGTATGGCTCTTTTATTCTGTCACAAGCATCCACAGATGGCTCTCTTCTTGTTTTCCAAGGAGCCATTGTTTCCACAGAATGTAATATGGTTTGTTGGCTGTTGTTCATTGAGGATTTTGTGTCAGGATTGGGAGTTTGTGGAATTATTACAGTCATGCCAGTTGAGGCTTTAATCTCTATCTCTACAATAATAATACAGAACAACGCCCACACTCATTTTGTGTTGGGGATAAATGAAATGCTCTGAAAGCATGACAATGTGAAAAGGATGCTCGTATCAAGGATAGTTGTTAAAGTCTGTCTAGATATTAATATATGGCCGATGGGGAACTTTGTAGCAAATTTCAAATGATTGTTTACATCAAATGCAGGTTTATTGGAAGTGTACTACAGTATTACACAAAAAACATTTGAAACCAGAGTTTCCCCCCTACAAAAGTGTTTTACACTATATCCAATCAGATTCCTGGATGTCATCTCATGTCAGGATCACTTTATGGAAAAACAACCCATGAGAGACCTATTGTACATTACTTCCTGACTGAAGAAGGGATGGCTGTCCCATGGGAGTCTATTTAGCTGCTGTTATCTGTTGACTTTACTTCCGTGAACAATACTCCAATTCTGAATTTTAGGGCATAACTTCTGAATGCGTAAGCAGCTGTTTGTCAGTTTAGTGGTGTGTTCATAATGTATTTCCTGTCCAGATAATTAGTTATTGCTGCCCTTTTATTTTATTGAGAAATATCAGCTCCACCTGGATGATTTAACAATGGTTTCATTAGTTCTAGCTTTTGACATTTCATTTGTATAACTGCATAGGCCCCATCCACTGACATTCATAATGAATGAAGTTCTGACTAATATGCCACCTCAAGGCAGAGCATATTCTCAGATTGAGTTTTAAATAGTAAAAGTGACCTTCTCTACCTCGCACAGCAGAGAAAAGCTGAGCTGGGCAACTATACAGTATCACCTTTTCTCACACTGTTCTTATGTCTGCCCTGTGGGAGATTTCTAATTAAGGTTAAGGCGATGACTTAAGTGATTAATGTTGGTAATTCGCCATCTTCAAATTTCCCCTTTTTAAAATCCAATGTGTTATCCTGACCTCCAGGACAGATGAGCTGCCTGCCAGCCATGCGTTTTCATCCCAATAAATGATATTGATTACCTGTAATGAGACTGTCATGGCTGTGTATATTTATGATGAGGCAACAAGGGCGAAGACAACAAATGAGGTTTTGTGTTTGGTAGATACCGCAGACATCAAGTCCAAGGATCATGTTGGATAGTAAGAAATAAGATCATTTATATTTTGAAAGACATGAATTTGTCTCTTTTCACACCTTTTAAGACCCCAGCAGAATAACTTAATGTGTCCAATGGAGAACGGTGAAAAGCTTTGATGCAGATTGTACTTGTTATGCAAGTTTTGTATTCCCTGTTCCGTGGGGTTTGTACTTCATGCTCTGAACCCAGCAGTTATCTAGTGAGCCATGTGTTGTTTCTCAGACATTTGCTTGTGCACTTTCTGCTCCCACTGCCAGAATGCTGTCTTGTCAAGCTGTGCTGTCAGTGAGCAAGCTACAAAATTTGCATAAAGCATGATTGAAAATTTACTTGGAACTGCTGCTACCTAACAAACAGGGAACACCATATTTAAGTATCTTACTTCAAAGTTCTGTCTTTACTAACTGATTAGCACTTTGCTGCCCTGACGAGCATTTGCCTACCTGCAGCTGGTGCCAGTGTTCTTTAACCTTTGGTCCTATGGATCTCCTGGATCTGCCGCATATGTGAGCTCGACATTTTCCCCACATGCTTTAACATTCACATTTTTGTAGGGGTTTCTCTTCAGCCTACAGTTGATATAATGCTGGGAGTAAAACAGCAACTCCTAAGTAGTCCAAAACACTGGCAGAGACCACGTTTTTGTCTAATGGATGTTACTTTTCAGGAGTAAATGCCTATCCATGGAGCTTCTCTTCAGTAAACTACCGTGTGATGATGCCTCGTTATCGAGGTCTGGGGAAAAGCACAATTATGGAAAATAGGCAGCAATTTCACTTCTATATAACACCGGGAAAGTGCTAAATGGGTTTGTGCTTTTGTGTGAGGTGTGCCTACATACCTCTGTACTTAATCGAGAAGTTAAACAGTTTGGCTTTTCACCCTAGTATATACTCAGCTGTCGTCTCCCTCCTGCCAGCAATCAAATACCTGATATGATATTCGTCTAGACTCTTGAGCCGGAATCAGTATGCACACACAGCATTCTGCAACTGTGGAAAGACAGAGGGGGTGTTGATGGATAAGTGGACTGCACTTGGTGGAGAGGACTGCGTGGAGAGGTTAGAACACGCAGACATAGACGTGGAGTGTGGTGACAGTTTTGGTGATTTGTAAAATGAATGAGTACCAAGTATATCACGGGTCAGCTATTAGAAAGCTTACACTAGTTTGTACTGAGCCTTCTCTTTGAGGGCGATATGACTGCACTGATGCTCGAAGCTGCCAAGGGAGTGAAATGGCCAATGAGACTTGAAACTGCAATATTGTATTGCAGGGACCAAGCCCCAGCTGCATGGTAGATTACTGCTGTACCCAGAGAGTAATGGCGTGATACATCACCCTGCATTGTGCGATGTCTGTCTGC